TTTAAGTTATATATATATATATATATATATATATATATATATATATATATATATCATCATTATCATCATCAAAGAAAGATACTTGAACCTGCGACCTCTCGATGTGAAGGCGAGCGTCATGGCTTATGGCTTCATGGTTAAATTATTTAAATAACCGTCGGGTACATTGTATTTCATATATAAATAACCGTCAGGTACATTGTATACGACTACCATGATTTATATTAATATTACTTGATATATGTTTTAGGTTACACTCCCAGTGCCATTATAGTGTTATAATCTGCAGTAAGGTCTATAAAACCAGAACGGTTCCTAATAATCTAAGTATAAAGTTGTTTTTAATAATAATTCATTTCTAATTTGGTAGACATTAGTATTTGTATAATAATCGCATTTCTTTAGAGCCCATGGGAAAACCAAAAATAGAGTTGAAAGCAGTTGAAAGAAATGAGATCATCTTACAATTGTTGGTAAGTAAGCTATTCCAATATGTTTATATTGCCAAGCTGTGGCTTTGTATAATAAGTTGCTCGACTTTTAATCCTTGTGTCATAGGTTCAATCCTTTAGAAGATCTGTCAGAATTAAAACAAATTCTTTCATTAAGACTAATATTGGTTTATATAATGTCAAAGATAAAGGATGCACCACTTTCGTCAATTTGGAATTCAGTATTAGTGTAACTACAATTTGGTACTTGTCTCATGACAATTTTTCAAGTCATGTACCATTGGATTTCCCACTGTCTTATGCGAAATACATATAATGACATTGGTTTAGACTAGAATCGATTCTATTTATAGCATTCTGAGCGAGTTCAGTGTGATGATATACTTCGGTATCAAGTGCGATACCAAAGCGAAGATGGAAATGAACGGGTCATTGTCAACACAACGGACAGTTCTCAAACAGAAGTCAAGATATCAGGGTTATCAGAATGTGTTGCTTACAACGTCGATTCTAGAGTTGTTAATAACGGAGAGATTATTGGTAATTGGGGAGAGCACATACGTGTACAAATAGCACCCTCCGGTAAAACAAACATTTAGTTTATCATTAGGCTTTATTATTATGTAAATTGTTAATATAATAATAATAATAATAATAATAATAATAATAATAATAATAATAATAATAATAATAATAATAATAATTATAATTATTATTATTATTTAGGAAACTGGTTTTTGTCTCAACAGCGCCCTCAATCATAAAAGATTCAGTTTTAAAGGAGACGTATTTATTGATGAAATGGAATGCTACCTGTATCAACCAAGATCAGGTGATGTACTATTATGAACTATCAGGTGGAATTCTTCATAAAGGAAATACAACAGAAACCGAAGTTCTTATAAATGACGGAATTGTACCATGTTCACGGTATACGTTTACAGTGTTTGCATCCCATTTGGGCGTGAACGGAACAACCGATAATGAAACTGTCTTTTCAGATGTGGACTGTAAGCTTTCCGTAAAGATTATCGTTATTGCTATATTTGTATATTATTTTTATCATTACTATTATTATTATTATTGTTATTATTATTATTATTATTATTATTATTATTATTATTATTATTATTATTATTATTATTGTTATCATTGTCATCATCCATCATCATCCATCATCATCATCTATCATCCATCATCATACATCATCATTCATCATCATGCATCATCATCCATCATTGTTCATCATCATCATCATTATCAACATTTATCATTATCCATCATCATCCATCATTCATCATCATCCATCATCCTCCATCCTCATCCATCATCACCACCATCTTCATCGTCACCACCACCATCATCATCATCATTAACATCATCATCATCATCCATCATTTATCAACATGCATCATCAACCATCATTTTCCATTATCATCCATCATTATTAATCATCATCCACCATTATACACCATCATCCATCATTATCCATCATCATCAACCATCATCTTCCATCACCCTCCATTATCATACATCATCCATCATCATCCAGCATCTTCTATTATCATCAATCATCATCCATCTTCATCCATCATCAACCATCATCCTCCATCATCTTCCCTTATCGTCCATCATCATTAATCTTCATCCATCATTATACATCATCATCCATCATCCATTATCATCCATCATCAACCATTATCCATCATCAACCATCATCAACCATTATCATCCATCATCATCCACCATCATCTCTTTTATCATCTCCATGATCATCATTATCATCTCCGCCAGGAGATATGTTTTCAGTCGTGTAAGTTGATGTGTGTGTAGGTGTGGGTGGGTGTCTGTGTGTGTTTAAATTATCTTAAAAACAGCTGTACAGATCTAAATGAAATTCACAGGGAGTGTTAGGTATGACCCAAGGAAAAGATGATTACATTTTTGTGATGGTCCGTAATTGGGGACCATTGAAACGTACCTATTGTCCTAAACCGTAGGCAGATACAACAGTTGTATGATGAATATTCAAATTGGTGCAATTATAGTAATTACATAAAAGTAATTTTCTCCTCAAAATTATTAATAATATTAAAGGTTAAAGTTTATTCATTTATATTGCAAAATACGAGAGGCATTATTAATTGTATATAAAATAATTAATTTCAATTAAATTAACAAATATATTTTTTAAACTGCTGGGACAAGTAATTTTCTCCTTAATAATGTAAATATTGAATAATCAATTTAATAATTGTATATGTAATGATGTAATTTTGATTAAATTAAATAGGCCCGAAATATAATTTTTCTGCTTTTTTTGAAACTAAATTTTTAAAGAAACATTTGAATACTGTATATTGGCTTAACTTTCGAATAACTGCCACTCATATATTTTTATACATTTTCTGTCTATCTTGTAACTCTGTTTTTTGCAAATGTCGCTCTTTTTTTCCCTTGCATGTCCTGTTATATAGACGAGTCTAAGGCTTCTATGTTATGTTCCTTTATTGATTTATTTTTTTTATGTGATCTTTTTGTTCGTTTTTGATTCTGTATTTTTTCTTTGTCGAATTTGAATAAAGTGAGAAATAAAAAATAAGCTTTCATATAAACTAATTCACTTTTTTTGGAAACCAATTTAAAATGTATTTATTGCATCTTTCTATTTAAACATGATACTAAAAACCAATAATAATTTTGTATTATTATTTTGACCATTCGAATTATTTTTCTATTTCGACAACAATACTTGGCATGTACTTTTTTGTCAAGTATAAATGTAAAATGTTCCAGTGTATGTAGTATCATGAAATAATAAGGTGGCAGGTGTACAACCAACCCCTAATATCGCATTAAGAGTTTACAAATACAATACAATAAAAGGTGTTGCTGTTGCTGTTTGCCCGAGTTGTAAGTAATCTTAAAAAAGTGTTTGGGCGAGTTATTGTGTGTTCGTTTGTTTGTTTTTCTTTTTTCTTTTAAAGAGGATTGTAGAGAAGGTAGTGAAGGTGGAGGTAGTTGAAAAATAGGAATATAGTTTGGGAGGTATATTTTATAGAAATGGATTTGCTATGAGGGGAGATATTTTCGCAATATCAGTTCGTTTAATGCTGTTACGCATTTTGCATGGACCTACAGGTATGCATAAATACGTAGGTTGGCCGTGTTGGTAATCAACTTAATTATTTTCAAATCAAATGCTTGTAACTCCAAAATAAAATGAGTTGATTCGATAATTGGGTCTCATTACAATTTGATAAAATAATATAGATATTTGTAGAACTGTTTAATCGATAATAACCCTGATAGAGAGCTAGAAACAGAGGGCGTTGTTCGCACAATGTCCAAAACAACGGATGCTAGCTCACATAGCCTGATAAATGTTAAACATCCATGGGCATCGATCGGTGGGCGACAGGGGGACACCTCCCCCACTTTTCAAATTAACGGGGACATCATATCAATATCCCCCACCCCACTTTTCACCAATCTTCTATAGTTAAAACCCCACTTTTCAAAGCGAGTGGAAAGATCAACAGCAAGAATGACTGTCATGGATTTTGTCTGTTCGCTTTTGCTCTGGCTGTCCAAAGTGCGGTGCATATTTCCGGACCAAAACCGAGTAAAACACTTTTAACCACTGATCGACGCCCTTGATAACACCGATGAAAGCTCGCAGTAAGTTTACATTAAAGTGTGCTTGGTTTATTATCGATTAAACAGTTCTAAAATCATTATAAGCAAACCAGATGAAACTATTCGAATAAATATGGATAAATTTAAAGAACAGTTGACTGTTTCCATATTTTACCACTACTGTAGCCATAAAGCGCAGGAATATTTATTATTCTCTTCCACAGATCCTGGTAAACCATACATTACTTCTTTAGCTTCAACGTCTTCGTCAATCACAATTACGTGGACAACTCCTGATGTTAATCCGTGCACAATTCTACAATACAAAGTGTTCGTTTACAGTAGTGTGACCAATTTCAACATGAATGTCACAGACACTTCACTGTCAATAACTGAAGATGTCAAGCTAAATACGAATTACTACGTCAGGGTTTGTAAATACCATTGTACATATATGTCAACATGTTTAGTAAATACTTTAGTACAGCATTTTTTACGAAATTAATTGATCAATCAGGGACATTGTTTACAAAAACAAGAGTTCTTTTCAGCATTTTATTTTATTTTTATTTATGACATTATTTTAGGAGAAAGTAAAATACAATAAAATGCCCTCCATGGATAACCAAAAGTAAAGCACTACCGAAGGTTCTGCAAGGCATCATAACATAAAATTTCAAATTTACATTGAGGTTAATTTTTTGATAAATAAAGTTCAAAGTCGTATAAAAAATAGAAAAAAATATATATTAGAAAATATATGTAACGAATTCATTACTAACTATTTGCCTCCCGGCCTTTTGCCACCCGGCCTTCTACCACCCGACTTTTGCCATTGAGCCCATTGCCACCCGGCTTTTGCCTCCTTAGGCCCGTTTTCACCCTGCCCGTTTTCACCCTGTCTTTTACCACCCGGCCTTTTGCCATCCTAGGCCCGTTGTCACACAGGCCCGTTGCCACCCTGCCTTTTGCTGGCGAGTTGATTGGCCGAGCGGTTAAGTCAGGGGCACCGTAACCTTCAGCTCTAATATCGGCACTGGTTCGAACGGCTCACTCGCCAATGGTTGGTGGTGGAACAAGTCTTCTCGGATAAGGACTTTAAACCGTAGGCCCAGTGTATGCGTTTGGCTCGTGTGCACTTTAAAGAACCCATGGAGTACATCATTCGAGAAGAGTAGGGGGTTACCCCCAGTGGCGTAGCTAGAGGTTTTGGCGCCCGGGGGCAAGAGTAGAAAATTGCGCCCCCCCCCCCCTACAATTATAATTATAATATTTTGATTAATTGATATTGGTTGTATAGACTTTAAGCATATGCGTACTCTACGTCCATCGGGACGTCCATATAATGCACTGTCTAAATAACATTATTTAAACCCGAATAACTATTATTATTCTAGCTCTCGTATGTTATTTCTTACCAGAGATGGGGCCAGGATTTGCCCGAGGGGGTCAAATGTTCGGGGGGGGGATGCCCCGACGATGGGGAAGATTTCCTTGAAGAGAGCAAAGTGGGCATGATCGAGCGTCGCTTAAAATCTTATGGTTTTTCTCCCCGACGAAGGAGGAGGGGGTGGAGGGGGTGCGCAGCTATCCCCGAAGGGGCCCTGGTGCCATCCCTGTTTCTTACTATTGAAACTGCATTACAATGTTCGGAACATTGTATACAACTTTACCATTATCCTAATTTGTAATTCTGTTGTATTTATCGCATAAATCTCAGTATTCTTATTCTCTAAATTTATCTTTAATAGAGTCTTGTAAGTTGCTGAAATTTTAACATTGTTTAAACTTGCAACTGAATTTTGTGTGCTTTTGTATCAGCAAATAAGTTAATAACATGATGAAAGTTAGCAATGTTGTCTGCTTCATCACGCTCAATACTAAGTAGTGCCAAAGCAGATATTCTCGCTTTAGTCATGTAGTCATTACAGAATAGGATAAAAAAAAAACAAGAGAAAACGGTCGAAATGGACTGAAAAGAAATTCGGACTACATTCGGATTCTTATTAAAATATTCATGCCTGACGAAATACATCAATTTCGTCGTGTTTTTCTAAAAAGTGCTTATTTTTTTTTAACTCATTCTCCCATTTCAGCGCCCCCTCAAACGTGCCCCCCGTTTGACTCCTCCTAGCTACGCCACAGGTTACCCCGGTGTACTGGTCCATTAGGTCCCCTGTTGTTAAATGGATATGCCACATAGGACAGTGATTAAGTTCACTTATTGGCATATCCTTTGGCGCTCGTGCCTAAAGAAATACATTGCCACCTAGGCCTTGCCATTCGGCTTTTTGCCACCTTTGGGTTAAAGACAAATATTTACATTAGGCCTATGCTGAGTTGGCATTTTTAAAACACAGATTTGTTATTATGGATTTGGAGAGAGAGCAGCTTAGCTCAGTCGGCTAATCTGATGGTAGCCACTGTGTGTGCGCTGAACCGTGGAGATCTCTAGGTTCCCGGTTCAATACCCATCGCTGCCTCTCCTTGTGTTTCAGCTAGAGGGCTGAAATACAAGTTACATAGCGCACCGTCTTTCGGATGAGACATTTAAGCCGTTGGTCCCGTGTGTATTTATGGCCCATGTGCACGTTAAAGAACACAGTACACTCTTCGGAAAAGAGTAGGGGATTGTCTCCCGGTGTACTGTCCAATCACCACCAGAAGGACCCCACTGGAAATAAGTCTTCTTCTAGACTTTCGTGGGCTATCCTTGGTGTTTACACCGAATAAATCCAATCCAATCCAATGGATGCACATATTTTTTATAATTTTGTATTTATGAAGTTAGTCGTAACTGATACTGGAGTAGAAATTGTGTTAATAATGAAATTTCGCTTCCAGTTTTATTACTTTTTATTTATTTAATTTGTATAAAGAGGGCAATACTGTGTCCACTTTTAGTATATTTTCACGATTAGAAAACAACACATTTATGATAGTTTTAATAGTTTATATACACGCGTACCGTTTTTATGTGTGTATAATAATGATGGTTGTTTCATTTCCATTTTATTTGTATTTATTCACTTCATTTAGCGAGAAAAAACAAAACATTACAAAAGCACATAAACAGTCAAAAAGTACAAAGTAACAATATAAACTGAATGAACTGAGGATTAAACCCAAGAAAGTTTAGAAAGCCAAGAAAGTTTACAAGTAAACTTATTTCCATTGGACACATGTTTATGTGATCTACTAAGATCGTTTGATAAAATAACACCCAGATAATTTACGGAGTCAGTAACATCAAGTTTACAACCATTTGGGAACCAAGAGGGTTCAATCATAAATGTATTATTACCGAAGACAGTACATGTAGTTTTACTCGGATTGAATCGTAATCCATGAGATGAGATATACGTACTCGTTAGCAAAATCAATTAAAATTTGGAGCCCAGTGGTCTTTAGGCTAGCAAGCAAATTACCATCGGCATAACAAAATGCGTTGAAGGCAGAGTGGGCAATAACTATACCGCAGTTTAGAGAATTAAATCTTTGAATAAGATCTTTATAAAATAGATTAAATAATGGAGAGAAATGACAAACCCTCTTGTCTTGTGCCTTTACGGATAGCTATTTTTATACTTATGAAACCACCCCACTTCACCTTCACTGTCAAATTTGTGTTCCAAGATAGTAAGCATCTTCACCATGGACCATCAATGTTGTCACCTAATTTTTCAAAAATGACATCATGTGGGATTGCATCAAACGCGCCCTCGGCATCTAGAGAGCACGAAAATGCATTGGAACCTTTATTGATGCAGTAGCCGAAGACGACAGTGGTGGCAGCCATGGCTGGTCCTCTACCATAAAATAAATCAGTTTAAGTTAATACGACATTTAAATCAAACAACAATTTTAAAAATTACTTACAATTATAGGCAATTTATATAAAATCATTGTGTAAATTCATTAAATTTACAATTATCAAAAACACTTTATTATTATTTAATTCAATAATTATATCTATTAGGTACTATACACAAATATAGATATTATTTAAACAATATTAGTATTGCAGTTCTTATATTTACAATGTTAAAATACTTTGTTATTTAATTTTGTATAAGCAAAATACAATATTCAAACATTCTATTTACAATAATTTAATATTATCAAATATAAATAAGATAGCAATAATTATTATAATTACACAATTCCAGAATAAAAATATATTACTATAAAGGCGTATTTCATAAAACAAATTTGACAAGATAAGGGCCCATTAAATAGCTAGGGGGAGTATTACAAAGCATTTCCAAATAAATAAGATTTAACATGGGATTTAAATTTATTTAAGGCATTACAATGTTTGATTCAAGAGGGAAGTGAGTTCCAATCTTTAATGCAATTATAATAAAATGTATTATTGGACTTGCCATAAAGAACTCTGAAATTTGTAGAACTTGTCTAATTTGATGTTCATGAGAATCACAGATACGTATAAAATTCTTGTAATGAGGACATGTTTTGTTAAAAATTCTGTAAAAATGGTTTGAGACGTAGATACCTAACGCGATTTTCAATATTAAGCATACCGAGATTAGTGGGTTCGGCATGCCCAACATGATTTCTGGGTTCCAACTTTGCAATAAATCTAATTAATTTGTCTTGAGTGGTTTGTAATATATATTTTTTCATATAAAGTAATTCTGTTTAAGTTGAACAGAGAAGGCGTCTCATTGATAGTTGTTGATTATGCTCTTAATATAGTATAAACAATGGAAAAAACAATTAATAAGTCAGTGTCAACATAAATGAGCGACTATCGCTTTTCCTGAGTCTACCAGAACAGCAACTATCATAGTTAAATAGGTAGATATTTTTTTAGATCAACAATCAATCGGATAACTTTTACAACTTCCTTGCCGTTTGACTTTTCCTTGAGATTCACAGAAATTCTTTCATCAACATTTGCTACGCCTTGGAGGTCGTAGACTTTCTTTAACTTGTCTCACCAACTTGCCGTTAAATATTCCTGAATCGTAATTCTTGATCCTAAATTGATCCCTGCACTGATATGAAATAAATTTTATAATGATGGGTCTTGGCCTCTTTTTGTTTTTGTCCTTCTTTCCGATGTGATGACTTCTATCTACTGATAACGGTGTTTATGATTAGCTTTTCCCTTGCTATTTGTCAATAACACCTTCAGCCGATTCACCTTCTGTCTTTACAATTCCAAATACTCTTACACAATGTCTTCTAGAGTATTGTTCTAGATCGTTTCTCATTTGGTTTTGAACATTCAGCTGAGCTGGTGCTTTAATTCAAAAATCGACTCATCTTGCTTTTTAATAATCCGCTCCAACTCATTGTGTTGGATGTCACTCCGATGTGTGTTGTACATCAAACATTCTACCGTTCAGAAGTTCAATTTCATGCTGAATGGGCTGAAGTTTTCAGCAATGGCATCACTAACAGCTTCATTAAACAGACAATTAACTTCTTAATGTTTAAACGCATCTATTAAACTAGTTCTAATAAGACTGGCTAGCTCCCCTTTTTCCAAGTCAGCTTTTGCGGCTTGTGTCATCTGCCTAGTTTGCCTAGTAGCGGATACACTTACTGAATTTTATCATAGTTTTTTTAAATGCATATGATTTATGTTGATTTATTGAATAAATTTTTGCTATTTTACAGCATTTGAATAGTTTGAAGATTTAAAAAAAAAATCAATATCATTACTGAATTTTATCATGGGGGGGGGGAGGGTTGGTAGGTGGAAGGCATTTTTTGATTTATTAATTCAATTCTTCCAATTTTACAGCATCTAAATTCTTTAAGATTTAAAAAAAAATCATTATTATTATTGTTGAATTTTATCATTCTTGGCCATTTTTACCTGTCTGTCATTTTTACCGGGCCATTTTTACCGTGGCCATTTTACTAATACTACTACTACTTTTATTATTTCTCTCGTTGTTTTTATTTTTCTATTTGAGCTGTTCCTATTGATCCTGTTGCTATTGTGTTATTATTTTAGGTAGCAGCCATGACGCAAAAGGGCTACGGTGATTTCTCAGATATTGAAAGTGTATCTACGAATAACGATAATCCTAACGTCGGTACGAAATTAACATTACATTACATGTATAATAAAAGTAGACAAAATTATTATATTTTTTCCGTCTTAATGGTTGAATCCCTAAACCCTGGGATCATTTTACGAAACGCATAATTTGCCTTTTACATAGCCTACATTATACTGTAATTGTGCCCTGTTTATCATTCATGTGAGACCATTTCGATTGTTTGTTGGTTTCAATAAAATATATGTTTTGTTAATAGGTCTATAGGGGGAAAAACACTAGCAGCAATGGATATTTTTGCTAAGCCCAGTCAGGCTAAGCCTAGTCCGTCTTGGAGCAAGTATTTCAATTTTGGCCCTTTTATAATTGATAGATTGACACTACTAAAAAGATCAATTAAATATTAAAAGATTAAATCGACTAGAGAAGATTCCCCCCCCCCCACCAAAAAAGCATTATATAATTGTTGGTTCTATGTCTTTGTATTTCTATTATTCTCAGGTGCTGTTATAGGTGGTTTGGCGGGAGGTTTATCTGTGGTAATATTTGGAATTGTTGTATTTATTTATGTTCAACGGTAACTATTTTCGGTACATCTTCATATGCAATGTATAAGTAGTGTAAAAATTGTACGACTTTTTTTCAGACTGCTTAATTTATTTCATCACATTTAATATTTTTATATAAAAATTTAAAAGTCTTCAATACATTAATATTAAAGACGCTAATAAATAATGTAACTTTCACTGAACAAGCAACGTTTATTGTTAATTTATCTTTGTCCGTTTGAATTCGTTTCATTATTTAACTCTTACATATAATCTGATTTTACTTCAGTATTATTCAAACTGTGTAATTGTGTAATAGATACGCTCGATTTTTTGGCATGCTAAGCATATATTTCTTCAGTATAAGAGATTGCTTGTGTGCAATACTTATTGGCAACTGATGAAGGTAGTTGCACACTACCGAAATAACTATTGTGCTGTTATTTATCATAATTTATCATCATCGTCATCATCATCGTCATTATTATTATTATTATTTTATTATTATATTATTGTAATTATTCAGTTAAAATGTTTAATCTATCTCTCGACCTTTTTCATTTCACGAGTGTGCAAATAACAGGTGTTTACTTTGTTTTAGACGCAGCAATTCAAACAAAGATGTTGTTAGAACACCTTATATTCAACAAGAGATAGTTCACGACATAGGTTTGACTTTTAAATTATTGTTATTATAGTCAACAATATTATCATCGTTTTCTTCATGATTAAAATAATTATACTTAGCCTACTCAAATGCTTTTATGCCTATCATCATTGTCACCATCATCATCCTATCATTACCGTCATCATAGTCATGATAATCATCATCATTATCAGTCATTAATCATCATTATAATAATTATTAACCGTCATTATAACTCATTATTATCATCAACTATCATTATTGTTATTGATACTATTTTAATCACTCATCATTATCAATGAACACCACTATCGTCTATCAACATCAATTTATGATTATCTTCATAATTATCTATATGGTCTTCATCATTATCATCGTCTGTATTCATTTTCTGTAGTGTTTCATTCTTACTGTTGTAAATAAATTCGAGTTAATTCAATTCAATTACCTAACCGCCTTAGAACGGTATTTATTTACTTTTAATAGAAAATGAGATAATGCCTATTGTGGAGGGTCATGCTAATTCAGTTGAAGCAAAATGCTTAGATGATGATGTTGATTTTGATCCTCCGATTGAAAATGTGTACGCCAACGCTGAACCAATTTATGGAAATACAAACTTGGAAAATCAAGAATACAAGCCAATTGAGTTAGAAAAGCTGCATGATTACATCCTAAAACGAAACATGAGCTTAGAAAACGGATTTGAGAAGGAATTTGAGGTATTTTTTACCATATTTATAGAGGGTGACCCTTCCAGCATATTCTAGAAGGTCGGCTGATATTCAGGGCCCTCTTTAAATAAATGAAGTAATGTGATGCTTTTTATCTGCGAAGTCTCTTTATGAGACTTAGGGAGTGGAGTTGTTTTTGGTCCTGAGAAAAAGTCCTGTCACAGGAATTGAACCTAAGACCCTGGGATTAAAAGGCAAGCATCTTAACCACTAATTATTCAACTAGTTTATTTAGTGAATGTTGTGTGTATGTTTGCTAGACAAAAGGATTTCAACTTTATAATTACAGTAACTGAGTTTGTTTTCTGCATAACTCTCGACCTTGTGTGCCTACCTAAAAGTTTATAAGTAAAATAGTTAAAATAATATTTTGATTTGTCTCCATCTTCTGTCAATCAACATTTGTATACGCAACTGGATAGTTTGTTATGCATTGCTATACACCTAATCCAACTGATAACATTTACATTTCTTGGTACATAATAAGTGAAAAACACACCAAAAAAAATGCATTAATTTTGTTATATTGTCTTTTGATAATATTTCTGCAAGTAAAAATTACGTGTTAATTTTCCTCTTAACAGGACCTTGGCAACAAGCCTTTGTACCCTTGGACAGCTGCGAAAAACTCTAAGAATAAGACAAAAAACAGATACGCAAATGTTATTCCATGTGAGTATCAATACAAGCACAAGAATAGCGATATCGTCCTCAGGTTCCCCATTATTATACGCCTTTAAAACAACATTGCTGTCTTTTTTTTTTCTGATATTAATTGGGGCATTGGGTTCCAGATCCGTCACACAATCTCCAATCTGTGTTATATTTTGTCTGATTAACATTTGTGATGATTTATTGTATTATTGGTTGTATTTCCCAAAGTTTTGATTTTGGTCAACATTAATTATTTGCCCCGTTTTATTGATTGTATTGACCAAGGGTTTGGTTTACGTCATCATAATTATTTGCCTCGTATTTATTGATAGTATTGACCAAAATGTTTGGTTTACGTCATCATAATTATTTGTCTCGCATTTATTGATTGTATTGACCAAAGTTTTGACTTTGGTCAACATAATTATTTACCTCCAAGAAAAAGTTAAAAATGCTAAATCAATAATTATTATTGTTTAGTATTTTTAACTTTTTCTTGTCCTGACTCCATATTCAGATTTCTATATTGTACTATTTGTTGTTTCCCATTGATTGCAAACATGCCAGTGCTTTAATGCATAATCTAGCTTGACAAATATGATGCAATTGTAATTTCTATTTTGTTAGATGATAACTCTCGTGTAGTGCTTGGTCTCTGGAATAACATTCCTGAGTCAGACTATATAAATGCCTCGTATATAGATGTAAGTACTGATTTTTATTCTACTTTCTTAATTACATAAAGCAAAGTAAGTAACAATTGACAAAATATGGATGGATATGCAATTTGTGAATTAAAGTTAAATTAACAATAATAATTCCCACCCGAATCACTTATGAAATGTTTTTCACAAATTGGGGATCGGATTCAACACTAGTCAGTAAGCGAAGCTCGGTAGTCTAATGGTTATGGCGCCAGGTTAGTTTTCTGATTCCCACCCGAATTACTTGCGTAATTTTGTTCACAAGTATTTCAGGGGTCCCAAGTTGAAGAACTCCATTCGCAGGAGATTTTGACGGGAACCGTCTGCAAATACAATGCGCGTCGCGTTGCAGCCAATACGCAACTACTTATAATATCAAATACTTGACATTCAATGATCAGAAAACAGTTAAATTGCTAGCTCTTGCTTTCATTTTTATTTACACATTGTAAATTAATACCATAAAAATTACATAAATTCTGGAATCTACTACTCTGTCACAGAGTAGGCCTAGTCTAATAATATACATTATTCATTTATTTACACTTAGAGGCCTACATCAATATCATTAATTACATCAATTTACACTTTTTTTCTGGCATTAGTAAACTATAAACATTGATGGTAGGGATTGGAATAAACTTAATTGTGATTATTTACGATTGTTTTTTAACATCCTGAGTCATGTTTTTACCTAGTAGGCCTAGGCTTGAGCTGATCTTCAAAATTAAGTATTTAAATTTTGAAAAATTTACAGGAAGAATTTTTTTCATGCGGTAGAAAAACATAGGCTTACGGTAGCGCGGTAGATCGTCGCTAAAAGCGGTAGAATACTATTTGGGGACGTACTGAGTATTCATTACGACAACACGTCAGGTAGGGCAAAACATCACACCTAAAATTATTAACTTCCTGACATCTTCCTGAGGATTCATATTGATGTAGAATTTGTCATGCGATAGATCTTGCCACTTCATACAACAGTGATTAAGTTTGCTAGTTAACAATCTTCCGAACATGTATCTAAATATAATGAGTGAATAAATGGTTATTATTTTTTGACAATTATTACATGATAAATGAACTATACATAAAAACCATATGTTTCGACGTACCACACGTCATCATCAGGCAATGTCGTGTACGATCTGCCGGGTTACATACTACCGGTCAAATACTATAAGGTAAGTTATGTATATTAAAGCAGAATACCATGGCAAGTCGTATAAAGATTTAGAATAAAAGAGTAATATTGTAATGAGTTGTTTGTTTGTTTGTTATGAAGGATTTCACCCAAACAATGTAATGGGCTTTCTTTAATTTTAAGTTGGTAGTGAAACAATGTGAATTAGATGTGTCTTCGCATGTAACTGATTTTTAGAAGGTGTTGAAAATGTGTGTCTCGGATCAAGTGCTGCTTTGCTCGTGTTTTTAGGTCTCCATTGGTATCACATACCCTGTTGCACCCTGCACAAGTAAACTTATAGACAACATGGGAGATTAGTTGGGACACAGTCTTTTACTTTGAAAAAGAATAGATAATGAAATTTAAAGGAAGTTTTTACATTGATATTAGAGTAATTATTTTTGACCATGGATTTGATTTCTTGTTTTCAGGGATATACGGCACCACATGAGTTTATTGCATGTCAAGGTAAATAATGTTGAATGATGGTACCCTTCATACCATCATACGGTACATTTTAAATCAACAGCGCTGTGCGTTCGTTACGTATTTTAATTATTCCGCGTTTATAATTTCAGGTCCAACTGTTGCATCAGTCAATGATATGTGGAGAATGATTTGGCAGAAAAATTCTACGATTATTGTGGTAGTTACCAATGTCGTTGAAGGAACCAAGGTATGTGTCTTGTATACGTAGAGGGATGTGTTGATTACGGTAGTGTTTAGGAGAGTGAGGTTTTAATAGGCATATGTCGTTCTTTCGTAAATAACAAATTGAAAAACGATGTTTGACGACTATTTTATTATGACCATTTGCAGAGAAAATGTGAGCAATACTGGCCAGATCAAAACGATAGTAATGTATACGCAAATATTGCTGTAACGAACGGCGGCGAGACCAACTATAGGAACTATGTGGTTCGAAATCTACAACTTCAAAAGGTTTTTTCCTCTTAAATTATTAAATCATTATCCTTGTAATAAAAATCATTGAAAAACTAAATTTTTTAGACAATAGTGTATTGCATGGAGTTTGCTTGGTTGATCTAGCTAAATTCCTCCTCGTTCTAATCCCAAGGAAATGTGATTAAATTGTTTACTTCCAATAAAACAACTTATCACATCATATATTTTCCAGTATTAGCCTAGTGAAACTTCCCTTTTACAACATATTTATATTAATATTTATTTAAATAATTATACATCTCTCTTTAAACATACACATATACAATAAACATAATTATTTTTAGACAAAAGACCAAAATGAAACCCTTTGCTTATCGAGTTTTGGTCTTTAAATATAATTAAAATACTGAATTGATAGCCTAAAAAGCACTAAAAAAAATAAGAAAATAATTGATAATGGTAATAATAATGATCGTAATAATAATATTACCTAAAATAATAAGTAAACAAAATTAGTGTCATTAATTAAACATTAATACTGTCCAATACGAAGTTACTGAAGTAATGTTTTTTTGAAAATTAATATTTAGCTAATAAATATTGTTTGGTTTTATATGAAAATATTTTCTTTGATTTTTGTATATTGGTATATTATTTTGGTATATTATTGGTATGTTATTTAAATATTGGTATATTATTTCAATGTTTTAGGCCTTGATAAAATGTATTGGTCTGGGCAAGTTAAGTGCGAAGTTGAGGAATTATTAATTAAAAGGGTTGTTAAATTTAGTATAATTCTTGGGACGAGTTACACATTTATAATATATATCAATAGTATGTAGTAATCTATAATAGAACAAGTCAGATATAGGTTTAAGTACACATAATTGTACAACTTAAAAATATCTAAAATATTGAGTTGTTTAATCAAGGGAATAGAGTGAGCTCTAAAATCAGAGAACGTAACACATCGAATGTATATTTTTTAATAAGAAAAATATTGTTTAAATAAGTAATCCCCCAAACGTCGATCCCATTGGTTAATAAAGGCCAAATATAAGAATAAAAGAATTATGAATGAGCAATAAAATAGATTGTGGAATAAGTTATCTTAACTTATATAGAATACCTACTTTTTTTCCTCACATTTTTACACAGATTATTAATATGATTTTTCCATGACAAATGCTTATCTAATACACAAGTGAAACCTCGTAAACTCATGGGCAAAATCCCTATTTACAGACAAGGCACGATTCGGTTAACTGCTTTGCCTGTATTATGAAATAAAATGTAGTTAGTTTTGCTAGAATTAATTGTTAACATAGAATTACACCATTCTGATACTTCATTTAAATTTTCATTTGCTTCATTAAGATCAATTGTATTAGATCAAAATGAATTGGCAAATAAATGAAAATCGAAATAATCAATTGAATTAGGAAGGTCGTTAATATAAATTAGAAAAAGTATTGGACTAAGAACAGAACCTTGTGGTGCACTATGCCAAGAGAACAATAACTTTTGCAATATCCGAAAGTAATGTGTTAACTAAATTAATTAAAGATATTTTATATATACTGTACGTTTGAGATACAAATTACAGTATTGACACACGATTAATTACTTTAAAGGTTGGGACGGAAGAGGTACATAGTGTAGTTCAGTATCATTTCACTGATTGGCCAGATAAGAGTGTTCCCCGCCCTGTTCCACATTTGATTGACTTCATCTACGCGTTTAGGTCAGCACAGCGGAATTCTCCAAGCGACAGTGGACCAGTCATAGTACACTGCAGGTAACATAATAACAACCAAAAACAGCCATTTAATATTATTATTACTTCGCCATGCGAACCTTCAAACAATAGTAATACTTCGTCCAAAACCAGCGAACTGTCGCTAATTGTTAAACTGAGTACTTAGCATATGAATGTGGCAGTATTGTATACTCTAGTACAGAGAAGCTTTTACTCTTAACTTTGGCAATAAAAGATCGATTTCCGTAAATGAGCTATCATTTTAAAGCTTATAATGTGGAGATATGTGAATTTATTTAAAAAGCCATCTCTTGTTTTTGTCACTGATGATGCTTTTGGCATGGCAAGCCTCATATAATAAAGATATACATGGATGGATTACTTTTATGTGTACAGAGCAATACGCTACATTCCTACTACACATGGAGAGATACAAAAGTATGTCGCAGAGATACAGAAATAGATGCAGTTACAGATCAGAATATTTTTTAAAAGTCACCCAACAACCACTGCATGTGTTGGTTAAGTGTTATGTTATGTCAGAAAATAACATTTACACAACGTTGCAGCAACCTCATTGGTTCATAAATAAATTATTTTATTTCCACTTAAAACCTTTTAGCACCAAACTGTACATTATTGTAACATCAGCTTGATAGCTGAATAGTTGGTAGATTTTGTACCTTCAAGTTATATAAGAAAGAATAATACATACTCCAAGTATTGAAATACACGCCATCGTGTTTGGATTCAATATTTCGACAATAATTATGTCATCATCAGGTCCTGATGATGACATAATTAATGTCGAAATATTGAATCACAACACGATGGCGTGTATTTCAATACTTGGAGTATGTATTATACTTTCTTATCTGAGATTAATCAGCGGACCTTTCGATTTTAAGTTATATTGTAGACAATGGCCCTGTAAACACTGTCCATTTGTAACCTGCTCTAACAATACCCATTTATATAGATAACCTTCATTAATGAACTTTTACTTTTGTCTAAAAACAACAAAAATATTTTATCATAATGTGTACTGCTATTCGTGTGGATTGTCAATACAAGAATCTTTTGTGATATATTATTTTTCAATGATCATTGTACTTAGATAGTGACCTAGTAAAATTTAATTACCAATATTCTAAACAACCAAGGAATAGTGTCTCAAGTTGTAATGTATTCTGTTAGATCTCTGTCTCTTTACATACCATCTAATTCTGCCAAATTTAAATTTGTGCCATGTAATTGTAAATAATGAATCTCGTATCTGTCTGGTATTCCAGTTGCATTTACAAGTTGCATTTTAGCTAATTTTTTAATTTATAAAACTTGGCTAAAGACACATGACAATAAAATAAAACGTATTTAAACCTAATATACTAGTTTTTATGCTGAAGTTTAGAATAGGCTTAGGCCTACGGCAAAACATTTATCTAGTCAAAGCAATTTAAATTTAAATCTATTGTTATCTTATTTTTATTCTATTTATTTTCTTTTTTCATTTCATCCCCCAACAGCGAAAATTCCAATAACAGGGAGCATACAATGAATATTATATAGAATGACAGCTAAAAAATCGGTAAAATCTATAAAATCACATTTAAAAATAATATAAACAATACAAAAATATTCAGATTGAATCAATTTACAATAGTTACTATTATATACAAAGAACGCTATGTGGTAAAGGGATGCTATTTAAATTCAGACTAACTCTTACCCATTTAAAATATTATTGAAGATTATTTGCATATTGTTTTATTATTGTAAGCATGTTAATGTATCATTAACTGTATCCTATTTTGACCTTATAACAACAAAGCAAGGAATAACACAAATTGGTTAGTTTAGCTATTATTTGTAAAACAGGTGAACAATCTGTTATATGAGAGGTTTATTTTTACATCGTGCTTAAGTAACTTTAAATTTATTATAATCTAATGAGGTAAGGGATGTGAGATACTTGAAATATATTTTAATAAATTTATGTTACCTGAAAGGAAAATTTAATATAATATATTTATAATTTTATGTTACCTGACAAAAATGTTAAATCTACCTTTTATGTGATTTTGCATGTTTAAAAAAATCAAATATATATTCATAAATTCATGTTACCTGAAAGAAAAACTGAGAAAAAAGAATGTTAATTAATTTAAGTACATTGTTACTCAAAAAAACTAATTGAAATAATGACCATGGTCAACGAAAAAAAATAGTAAAATTTGCTTTTCCGACTTTCCTTTAATAAGCTCTTTCATAGTTCCAGTTATAAATATATGATAGAGTTTAAACAATCGTCACTTTATTATGGCACCTGCCATCTTGAAAATTTGAGAAGGTCTATATAGGCACAAGTTGTAAAAGCTATTTTGGGTGAGCCTCTGATACTCCATTGGTAATTTGTATAATTATGTACAATTTTATGATTACTTAACTTCATTACTCGTTTCAGTGCTGGAGCTGGTAGGACTGGTACAGTTATTGTAATCGCTTCAATGCTGGACATGGCAAAGCAAGAAGGGAAGGTGGATGTATTCAATTTTGTGCGAAGCATGAGAGAGAAACGTATCCAAATGGTGCAGACTGAGGTTGTATATCTTCTTTTTTTTTCGCCTAACGTGTTCCAGATATAGACTAGCTATTTTTATTGCTGTTTCTGAATGCTCATTTATTCCTTTTAGCTCGAGCCATCTTTATTTATTAATTCGCTCTCTTTTTCATTTTTGGCTACACCTTTAGTTTGGTATGTATAATAGCGATCAATTAATCAATCAACTTTCCAAGCCACTACATAATCTAATGTTCGGTGGCGCTATAAGAAAAGAAAGTTTACTCTAGTAAATGTAATAATATCTAGTATTGTAATGGGAACATTTCAAAGATATTTAATATGTACTTTTATATGAACCGAATTGTATGACTTTATCTTGAATTATGCATTGTGTTAATATTACAATACATGTATATTAATTTAATTTGTTATAAAATATATAGGCCTATTGATATTAGAATACTATGTCCTGATTATATGCCTACTATATACTCCAAAAATAAACCTAGTTATATTATTAGCAATTGTATTATTGCTGCATTATTATTATTATTATTATTATTATTATTATTATTATTATTATTATTATTATTATTATTATTATTATTATTATTATTATTATTATCGTTTATCATTATTGTTATTATTATTATTTAATTATTATTACTGTTATTATTTTTATTATTATTATTATTATTATCATCATCATCATTATTATTACATTACTGTGTTATACTAAAACATCAATAGGAGCAATACAAGTTCATCTATGCCGCTTTACTTGAAGAGTTGTTCTGTGGACAGACACAAATTCCAGTAACTGATTTAAACCAAGTAATCCTCGACCAGCAACAAGTGCATGGACCGCCCTCAACTATTGAGTACCAACTAAAGGTACTGCTACTTCTGTACTACGGTATCATGTACAATTTTTACTGAATGTGTACACTAATTCTACTGATGAATATTATACTTTAGGTATAATTTATTATGTGACTCACATCACTGCCAATTAAGAATGCCACTGCCATTTGTATGTGAAATTCAGGGGCTTTTCTTCTAATCTAGGTACTGTACATTCTAAACAGTTTTAAAGCCTAATAATATGGCTATGGCTATATTTTCTGCCTGCTAGCAGGCTGACAGCAGTTAATTTTCCCATTTTTTTCCCTATCATATGATTTGTACTGGCGCTTGGTGGCCAGTGGTAAATCCGATCCTCACGTAGCAGTAGGTACTTTGCAATGCTATTCCGATGGCGTATTTTTGTTAGGAGAAATAATATGAAATGATGTTTGCCCAACCTGACGTGTTATAAGTATTTAATACGCAGTACATTCGCAAATACTTGCGAAAAAAAAAATCGCAAGTGATTCGGGTGTTAATCGAACCCACGACCTCTAGGTAACTAGCCAGGTGACTTAACCACTACACCCCTGAGTTTGCGCTTGGTGGCCTGTGGATCCCCAAGTAGCAGCGGGTAGGCCTACTGCAGTGCTATTCCTATTTTTTTCAGGATAAATAATACGAAATGATGTTTGCCCTACCTGACATGTTATAAGTACTGAATGTTCAGTACACTGTTTCCAGTATACTTGCAAAATACATGCCAGTTATTCGGGTGGGAATCGAACCAAGGATCTTCAGATGGCGTATTTTCGTCAGGTCTAGTGGTTAAGACATCAGGCTAGACTAGCTAAGTTACCTTGAGGACGTGGGTTCGATTTCCACCCGAATCCCGAATTTTTTTTTCGCAAGCATTTCGGAACATACTCAGCCTTCAGTACTTATAACAGGTGGTGCAAACATCATTTCGTATTATTTCTCCTGACGAAAATACGACATAGAATACTATAAATATACAATAATATGGCTCGTGAAGCAGATAAAGTCAGCACATGCTCAGAAATGTTTAACTTGTAAAATTAATACTAACGCTTATTTAGAATAATAATTACAATTGATAACAAATTCAAGTAATCTATAATCCTAATGATAATCCTGGAGTCACCACACATAATACATCATGTACAGGTTCATCGTTATGTTATATTCAATTGATGAATATTTCTTTTGATGTATTATGTGAAAATCTGAATAAACTGAAACTGAATACAGAATTTGAATTAGGAGATTAATATAATACCGGTAATAATATACAAATAATGCTGGTCTAGTATGATAGATTTTTTTTAGTAATTTAGTAAAACAATCAAATATTTTGATAACTTATCGAACAAATAAAAATGTACATAAAACAGCTTATAGCAGTAAAAAATGAATTGCAAGCTGGGTTGTTAAAATATGTAGGTAAAAAATCCTCAATGAATAAAATATACAGACATTACAGATGTAACATACATTAAATCATTAAGCAACTACGCTTCTTAGATACAGTAAATAACAATATAAAGATTTGATTAAAAATGGGAAAAAAACCCAGGAATAAATACAACAATCAGTAATAAACAAATATATAGATTTAAAGATCATAGACAAATTGTGCACAAGTAATTCGGAATTGCACAAAGTGATGGCCTAATGATTGAAATATACAAACAAACTAAAATCAATGATTATTACAACGTTTTTATGTATAGACTTTAAACAGTATATACCCGTGTCCTACTGATGATCGTACATCGCATGCAAGATTGCCCGACAACATATTGAAGAATCGTTCCAAAGATGTCTTACCACGTAAGTTCTGCTATAGTCATTAATTGTTATCTATATCTAGAATTAACAAATGCACATTTATAACAGATTGTTATTACAATAGGTTATGCTGAATAGTTGTGGTTTAATGATTTATTGATTGGTTTGAATATTTTGTATCTTGATTCATTTTATAAAGTAAATAAAGCTCGCCCTTTCTTGATGACTCCATGTGTCAACGGAAATGATTACATCAACGCATCATTCTGTGACGTAAGTAAAACTTTCTAAGCTTAAGTCATTATTAAACTGCATAATTTGTGCAATTTGGTTCTTTAAATCATTATTATTACAATTATTATTAATATTTTATATCATCATCATTACTATTATTATTATTATTATCATCATCATCATCATCATCATTATCATTACCCATCATCAAATACCTTGTCATTTCATGTGAATCTCGAATAAAGAATAATGCCACATTCTACAATCTGCATTATTGATTATATTTTAAAGGAAGTATCCATTTTCTTTTAATGTTTCAGGGCTACAACAAGCGTAACGCGTTTATTGTTGCTCAGGCTCCAATGTCTGAGCCTGCCGACACAACTGTTGATTTTTGGCGTTTAGTGTTAGATTACAAGACAGACATAATCGTACAACTGAATAACAAAGATGAAACTTGCTCTGAATACCTTCCTCAACGGATGAATGAAGAGCTGAAGATTGATACATTTACCATTATAATCAAATCTTCTGAGCAGAACGACTTAATGGTCGAACGAAAACTCATGCTACAGAAGGTCGTGCGCCTACTTCATTTACATTAATATAACTATCTTCTTATTTTTAGTGGTTATGTATAAAAGTTTAAAATATATATTATGCTATATATTAATATATATATATATATATATATATATATATATATTATATATTATGCTAATATAATTTCCAATTGCAATACAACCCATTAGCAACGCATAATTAATATGTCACCTCCATATAATTTAGGCCTATTTAGATTATGTTCTGACACCTGGTACGATCGACTAATTGTTCATTTAATAATCTCCCCAGATTGCCATAACCAATGGCTCTATTCAGTACTTTTTGAAAATGAGTAGGCTTCCATAGTTCCATTGGCTTAATATATTCATAATATTTTGGGGATTTTTTTTCAATTCAGGACAATAAAACACAAGAGATTCTGCACTTCGAGTTTCGGCAGTGGTCTAAAGCAGAACCTGTTCCGAAGGTTGAATCGTTTATCAGGTTTATTGCAGCCGTTCAACGCGGTCACATTCCTCAAAGTAATCGGCCAATCATCATTCACTGCCTGTGCGTTTAAGAATTATTTATAATTCATTAATTTATTTGACCAAAATCGAAAGTTTGCAAACAAGATACATGAGTAAAATGCCTCATAATAATATTATAATACTAATAAAATTATTTAGTAATCATAAATTTAATTATTGTAACTATGCTAATATGTTTTGCTATTGATTGATATTCAGGGATGGCACGGTTCGATCAGGATTGTTTTGCTCTGTATATTCAATAATCGATAAAATCAAAGAAGAGAAAATTGTGGATGTATTCCAAATACTCAAAACCCTGCGATCAGTTTGCCCTGCAATGGTTAACACTAAGGTAGGTTCTATCTGAAACAATATTATTTAAATATGTCTAATGTTATTGTAAGAGTCAATAAATGATAATATATGAGAAACTGTAATTTCATTCATCCATTTATTCATTCTTTCATTCATTATTATTTTCATATTTGGTTTTGTATGGGTCGAACACCTCCTTGTGGGAGTGTTCCTCTGTTATCTTAGATAAAATTATGATAATAGATTTCTACGTAGCAATCCATTCAGGAAGAGACACATGCACAACATGTTTTACCAATGAAAATAAATAGCAGAAGATACAGCAGCTTCCCAATATAGTGGAACATCTGTTTGAAATGCTTTGTGGGTACATGG